CATGATTATATTACACCACTTGAAAGGTATGGTAATTATGGTAATGTTACGAAGGACCTTGATGCAAAATCTTGTGTCATCATTGGGACACCTACAGTCAATTCATCAATTTTTTTTCAGTAAAAAACACCTTAACATCTTCACCATCATAGCAATAATCAATTATATACAAATGCATGTGGCTGATAATATGTTTTAGAATTGTGAATATAAAATAAATCTTCAAGAAATTTTGTCTTTCATGAAATCAAATAGAAAATTTCATACAATTCCTCATGTATTCAGCTGCAGCTTTAAAATATTTTTATGTGCTTTACAAAATGCTTCTTTATCAATTTTTGGTGGTTCATCATCATCATTTTCCCATGGGTTAGATATATCTCCTTTACCACTACTACTATGATGTCATGATCTAGAGATTAAAGATGCGTCAATCAAAGTTATTTTCATTTCAACTGTTTAAATCAAATTCAATTATCGTCTATATGTATATACAATCAAATTCATTTTTAGAATTCATAAATTAGTTCCTTTGTTACGCGATATTCTTGTACAACTCCTTTTTTCCTTTTTTAATTTTGGTTAGTTTGGGTTTAAGATCTTCTTTCGCTCCAAATTACTGATTATCTTAATTTTTAAAATGAGGTTTACACTAAAATTTAAAAACAGTATTATTAATGGTAGGATTAGCAACTGTAATGATAAAAGTAGACAGATGCATTCAATGCCGATTATTGAGGTAATCGTTTAATTCACATATTTTTGTATACAACTTGATTACTATTAATGATTATTTTTATTGCTGTTATAAATATCGTTTTAATGTTATTGACATTATAAAAGTTTTTATATAAATTAGATTTCTAAATTGTTACAATCAAAGAAAACAAGTTCAACTAATTTAGTAGAGAAATGTTTATCACGAATTACAAAATACAATGATAAAATCAATGCTTTCATATCAATTCATGATAAAGATGAGTTATTTAACAGGGCAAACGAAGCGGATCAAAGATTTAATCGAGGTAATAATAGGTGATAATTAGTATTTTGAAAATATTTAATTAATATTTAAATTAAAAAATTCATTATTAGGAAAACATAAAGGTCATTTAGACGGTATTCCAATAGCTTATAAAGATGTATTTTGTACAAAAGAATTAAACACTACTTGTGCATCAAATATGTTAAAAGGTTATTTATTTTATTCCTTTCCTTTGTAGAAAAAAATTCCATTGAGAGTTAGTTGATTTACCTCATACAGGTTGATTTTTCAAATTTTATGTAGATTTTAAATCTCCATACAATGCATCAGTTGTAGAATATCTTAACAGTGCTGGCGCTATAATGATGGGTAAAACAAACATGGATGAATTTGCAATGGGGTATATTATCAATTAAATATATATTATTGAAAAAATAAAATAAAATTTATATTATATTATATTTAAATATTTTAGATCGGCAAATGTCTATAGTGCTTATGGACCTGTTCTTAATCCAAGAAAATATATTTACAAACAAAAATCTGAAAAATTTTATAAAGAAGAGTTAGAGGAGGATAGAGTTGCTGGAGGTAGCTCTGGAGGCAGTGCAGCAGCTGTTGCATCTGGAATGTGTTATGTGTAGGTGATGATGATGATGATGATGATGATGATTGTGAAGATTATGGTGATGATGATATAATAGCAAAATATATTATGTATATATATATATATAATAATGTATTTTTTATATTATGATGAATAAATAGAGCACTTGGTTCTGATAGTGGTGGATCAGTTAGGCTTCCTGCTTCATATTGTGGAGTTATTGGATTTAAACCATCATATGGTCAATGTTCTAGATGGGGTTTAGTTGCATATGCAAATTCATTAGATACAGTTGGCATTTTGACAAGAACAGTTGATGACTCTAAATTAGTATACGGTATGGAATTTATTAATTAACAATGGAATATTTGATTGGTCATGAACAAATATATAGATAAACACATTGTGCTTGTATTCTTTTTTTCCTACTTTATAAAGATTTAATATCAAAGTATGATGTAAAAGATTCAACCTCAATTCCACCAGAGGTACGAGAATTCAATAATTCAATACCATCATTTTTCAATCCAAAAAATAACAATAACCCAAATGATTTGAATGGTTTACGTGTTGGAATACCAAAAGTATAAATATAATCATTATTCTTTGATTAAAAATAGAATAATAGTAAGGGATGAGGATGATGATTAATTGGTTAATTGGTTAATTTATTTTATAGGAATTCTTTGTAGCTGAATTGAATAAATCCATTATTGATTTATGGAGAAAAGGAATTTCATATCTTCGCTCATGTGGTGCAACAATAGTATCCATCTCATGCCCTAATACAAAATATGCACTACC